TTGCAAAGTCGATTAGGTTGAGGCTATTATTGTTCGTTACTTCATGCAAGCTATGGTGGCCAATGGTTGGTTTAAATATTAATTATTTTCCTATTTTTGCATTTAGATCTCCTAATACAGCGGTTCCCAAACATTTTTTTCAGCGGTGCCTTTTTTTTGACCAAATTTACCCACGGTGCCCTGTTTTGAAATACATTACAGAACAAAAAAAACCTATTGATAACCAATTTTATTAATTTTATTAAAATTTAACTTAATTATAAATTAATGCATTTTTAAATTTAAAAAATAAATAAATAGAAATTATTATTATTATGATTATAATTATTATACAAAATTATTATAAAGTTAAAACGAGAGTATCCGAATATACAATAGAATATATTGCATTATAAGCTATAAAGTTTTTATGAAAACCATAAGGAAAAACAATTTTATACATTCTAAACTATTTGTTATGAACCGTACGTAGACCGCGGTGCCCTTAGAAAATGGTCGTGGTGCCCCCAGGGCACCGCGGTGCACAGTTTGGGAATCGTTGTCCTAATAAAACCACTATTCTGTTATTAGGTATTCCATCTACCATGTTCGGTAATTCATCTTAGAAGTAGTCTTTTTCTTCTCAAGTCTTTTCCTCAATAGGGGCATGAACACTAATTATTGTGAGATTAACCCAGTATGCTTTAATTGTAAATAGTGATATTCTTGGGTCAAATGTCTTAAATTCCATTACGTTTGGTACTATTGATTTATGTACTATGAAACCCATACCAAATTGTCGTCAATAATCACAATAAATGATTATTAATATCTATGGATCTCGTTCCTTGCTATCTAATTGCTTGGATCGCCACGATCTTAAGTTTATACCTCCCTGTTTCTTGCGTCACTGTATGTGCCGCTCCAATGCTATATAATGTGCGAACGTTCCATGTACCCAAAAATATTTCCGATTTCCAGTTTCCATTTTTGTATTCCTTATCTTCACTATTCCGAGGCTTTTTGTTTGGTTCCTAAACATGAGTTTTTTTACGAGGCTGGGTTGTTAACCCAGCACCCAACCCCCAAACTGGAGGACCAGACCACTCTAATCAATTAAGACCAGAGTGGGGCTATTGCAACACTCAATGAAGGGTACTAGGCGACGGGAACACCACTTTCCCAACGCCGAAAAAAAATAAGATACAATTGTAATTTTAAATTAGAGAAATCTAAAGTAGCAGATCATTTGTACTAGTTCAGAATATAAGTACTATTATGTTAACCACATTATTTGAGTACATTTAAAAGCCATGATAGATTATGGAATTTTAAAAAAACGACTATTTCAAATTAATGTATCAATGTAAAATATACAACGAATATCTTATATTGCAAATTTGTGACTAGATTAATGTAAAACATAGTAAAAAAATCTTTTTTCTTTTTTGATTCAAAACTTAAAAAATTTTCTAAAATATTTTCCGTGTCAAATTTCTAATCTAATTAAATCCCATTGAACTTAATTATGGATTTTTTACTAAACAAAAGTTAAACCACAGAAAGCAATTTTCGAAAACAATCATAATTTTTGCAACAAGACGTCGTTGAGTGGTCACACCAGTTGTTTATGTTGCTTCGTGACTTTGATGTTAAAGGCGCTTATCCAATCTCTTGTATTCTCGGTTGAACAGCTACCCGAAAGTTTGTAACATAGCATATCATATCTCATAACATCTAATTGAATCGTCAATAGCACTTAATGATTTCTAATAGATTTGGATTTAAAGTCTTAAAAAAAAAAAATCCAACGCTTATAACAATAATCAACTTTTTTGATGAACTTTTAAAACAATATACAATATTTATATAGATATTTACAAAGACCGAAAATGATTAGTTATTATAGATTATCAAATTATATTGTATCGATGAGTTTTTATGGACTGTAAATAAAAAATGTATAGAAAGTACAACTATGTGTGGTATGAACAGATTTCGCATTACAAGAGGCAAGCTGAAACTGTCTTATGGAGTTGTTATTACGTTTTGAATTATAGATTTTATATAAATACGAGTATATGCACAATCTCCATACATTTTCTACCAGGACTCATTCATAAATAAAGAAGGAAATGTTTATTTTTTATTTAAAAGAATAATTTTTTCATTTTGTTTTTCGTGTGAAATTGATTAGAGGAAAAAATTGAAGTTTTGTTTTTATATTTTGTTATCATGAGTATAATAAATAATTTTAAATATATTATATTTTTTAATTAAATTAGAAAAATCAATCAGTTTGTATAATGTCCGGCAACCCAAACTTTGCCTCACGAATAGGAACTAACAATAATTTACCTTTTATCACTATAAAACCTCGCAAGGAAGAGAACATTTATATCATACTTAATACTTAATATTAATACTAGGTATGATAAAATTCGTATATAATCGGTAAATATTATAAGGTATAGAATGTCACGCGATTTCAGTCGTACACATATTGCATAGTTCTATCGTTTTATACAAATGTATGAAAACAACATTTCAGTGTATATTTAAGTGTTCAAAAATAAATAAATATATTAGGTATTATAATATTTATGAGTATCTACTCATTTTAAATATATACATATATTATACAACAAATGTAATCCATTGTTGCGAAACAAATTAAAATAACGTATAATCGTATAAACTGATTTAGTACATTTAAAAAAAAAAATTAAACCTTGATATATATATATATATATATATATTTATATATGTATAGTATATTATACACCTTATATAATAATTAAAAATTAGTACTCTATTTCATTTTTGCTTTTTTATCTAAATTTGTTTATGGATATGTCTATTTTAATTGTATTATTTATATTAATACAAGCATAATAAATTACACGTTATGTAATGTGTAATTTATCTAACCAACATAGTAGTGTGTTTTGTACTTTGAACATCTGTAATTATTAAAATAAATATATAAATCAAACAATCACAATTGATTATTTAATAGCTAACTTCAATGCAACACGAACATTAGTGTGATTGTTTATTTTTAATTTTGAATGAAACGAAGAAGGACTTGGTTTTACCATAACGTACGTACCTAATTATTTTTTGTATTTTTGTGCATACATTCATGCAAAGTTGCTGCTCCGATCATCACTATTATGGGAACTTTCTGATAAGAAATGTTGTCTAAATGATGCTTTTAGTCTTACTAAATTTTCTGTAGTTTTCTTATTATTTGCAAAAAACTGACAAAGAGCAAATAAAATAACCGGCAATATTTGAGACACACTGTTTTTTTATTTTACCGATATTTTTTCAGCTAAATATAAATTACAATCCTCGAACCGATAAAAATATTCATCCAAAACAAGCCGTAAGATAATCGTATACGAAAAAAAAATGTAAACAGATATTACGTACTTGATGTTATTTTATCAATAATGAACTGTGATACCCAAAACATTTTGTACATTCATATGATCATATGACGTAACGACTTTTGAAGCACTAATTGCTTACAATAGTACATCATATAAGATACACGAATATATCATGTCAGATTTATGAATCTCAAAAAACCGCGATATAAACCGTCAACACAAATTGTACCGGATTTGAGTCTTCAGAGGCCACTAAACACAGCTAAGAAAAAAATTATAACAATGATAAATACTAATATAAAATCGAGTTCAGTGACATCACAATCTTTAAAAAATAGTGCTTCGTTTAGAACCCACTACCCACCCATTATTTTCCAATAATTAATTAATATGTAATAAAATAATAAAATAGTATAAAAAAAAAAGTATTCAATAAATCAAATATTTACAACGAGACTAAATTCTTTAATTATAACTTTAAAAAAAAAATAATAATAATAATTTTTAAAACCAAATTAAACAATATTAATAATAACAACACTCAACTAATATTTTTAAAAAAATAATTTTAAATAGAAACAATCGGCAATGAAGGCATATTAATTTGCATTTTTTTTTTTTAATTTTTATTTTACAGGACTCTTATTTATAAATTTACTAAAACTCCTTTCCACATAACAGGATGTTATTGGAGCATACTTAAATGATACGATTTTTATCGGAATTAAAGTAATATGATGTTAATTTTTCTGTTTCACATTCAATATTTATAATGCTAAGAATTTTCGAAAATATTTTGAATCCCTTAATCTTCAACCAAAATAAGATTACATAGTAAGTAAATTTACGTCAATTCGAAAAATAGCCCAAAAATTATAGACGTTAATTAAATAAATACCATTTAAAATTAACAATATTGAAAAAACTATTAAATTGACAAAATTAATAAAATTCTCAAAAATCTATAATCAATTATTACATTATGTTCAAAATATGCAAAAAAAAATGGTTCAATTCATTCGAGAATAAGCCAAATCTTTGACATATCTGACAACTAATTAATTTGGACTTAAAGTAAAAAAACATACAAATGCATATAAATCCTAGCACTATACATATATCACTCGCTGGTCGATCGCCGTCATAACGCTAACCCGAAGTGGATTACTGTCTGGTGCTATCGACTCAGGAACTTTCCTATCACTTAGTAATTTTAAAGTTCCTTTACGCCCCATACTCATTCAAATATTCTACTACATTTTGCTACATCCACCATAAACTATACGTTCAACGAACCACGTATATAGTATAAAAATGCTGCCTTAACACCGTTGCGTACTACATCTTCATACAACATAACTGCAATCGTGTGTATTTATACTGGTAATGTTGCCCCGTACACCGATGACGAAAAACATAAATAAATAATTAAAACAAAATGAAACACGTATACGTACGTACGTATTCATAAGCAAAACAATATGAACGTAAATATTGCGGGAGGAAAAAACTCTCGTGGTGACGTCCGCGACGGACGTCTAAGGGTTGCAGATACCAGTTGACGTTGTGCACGCGAAATATCGAATGGGCAACGCTCGAAATCGAAAAAATTGTTATAAATACCTCTTATCCCGCGGGCAATAAACCACGGGTCCGGTGTGAAGCGTCGATCCTCTTTGGATACTCGGATTCCTACACACACCCCCCTCCCACACGAGGGCTCTAAATCGAAAACCGAAAACGCGACGCGAACAGAGTTGGCGATCGACGGAGCGTCGCGTGACTACTGCCATTTCGTCGGCGGCGGTGGGACAAAGAGGTCCTTCGGAACACACGGCGGCGGCGGCGGCGGCGAACTGTTGCTCTTCTCTTTCGACCTGCGCACTTGGCCGCGACGCTGGTGTCCCCCGTGCGACGTGTGTGGACCGCACCGGTGTACTATAGTAATGTTTATAGTAACGATGATAATATATCTTCGAGGTACCGCAGGAACGGTAGCGTATCTACTATCTATGGGGGCGATCGAGCGGCTTACAACCCTCTCCTTGTCTCCGAAATGAAATTATGAATTTCTGTTACAAATGTTCCATCACTCGATAACGATTAAAATGTTCGTATTAGAAAAACGTACATATTATATCATTAAACTTGGTTTCATTAATAAGCGAGTGTAATAGTCTCCATTGTTCGGATGATAGTTCTTGTTAAATTGTATTTCGGTAGATATATTTTTATACTTTTAAAAATGTTCCCATACCCCCACCCTGTATAATAAAATTTTGCATAAAAGTGTAGGATACTTCATACGTCTCGCAAAATATGTGGTGACCATAGTAAACTGCACGTACGTACAACGGGAAAGAGAGAAACATTATTCCTCCGTAATTACAAGACAAATTGTCAACGATTTAAATATCAGTGTGTACATCTCTGTTCAAAACATTGTAATAATCGACAACAACGAAGCCTTGTACGCGGTCGTAAATTAAACCAAATCATCACAGTATGAGAACAGTAATCAGTGTTTAGTACTTGCATTATGCATGTAAATGTAATAATGTAGATGTGCTCATAAACCAGAAAACATTTAATACGGAAAAAAATCCTCCGCTGCGGTAACCGCTGTACTACTGTTGTATTGCATATTTGTTAAATATCACTATTTATTCTCGTTCGGTATTATATCACAGTTATGGTTTTTAATTTTTGCAACGATATGATACAAATTTTAGTATTAAACGGGTGTACTCTAGAGAAAATAGGATTTTTAACACGTAGATATAGTATGTATTTTTTTAATATTTGTAATCTTATTTTTCAGAATTTTCTCAACCTTTCGAGATTATTTGACCAAAAAGAAAAAGAAAGAGATTAAATATTCTATACTTGACAAACATAATTCAAGTTTTTCAAATTATTTATATACACACTTAAAATTAAATTAAATGAAACGACCAAATAAATCGCAAAAACAAAGTTTCAAATAAATATAATCGTTTAATTACTTCCTTTGTAAATTCATTGTATATTGTGAACAAACTATATCAAGTCTTCAAATACCTTGATTCACAATTTTAACATTGAACTAAAACAGTTTGAAGAAATTGAATTCATAAATATTGAATGTGTTACATTATAATTATCTTAATTAATAATTTAGGTTATAATCGAAGATATACTGTCATATTTTACTACAACTAGAAAGAATAATTATTGACGTATATTTCAAAATAAATAACTATAGTTTAAATGAGCAATATTTCCTAGCATAATAATTCTATGAAAATATGTGATTATCAATTAACAGGTTGAAACCTATTTATACATATGGTTATACATATGCATATGCTTTAAATTTAAAGATCACTGCAATGAACAATCATAAAATATTTTTGTATTATGAATATAATAGAGGAAGGTATCAATATACAGTAGATATCAACTATTTAGATTATAATATTCTTATTTTATATAGATAGTAATTAAAACCGGTGTCATATAGTTGAAAAATATCAATAATTAAAAAATTTTCTCGAATTATAGTAAAAATTATAATTTTAAAAAAACATAAGTATTTCATACTTCAATACATTATTTTAATTAAATAATGAATATCGTTTTTCGTTAATCTGTATAAGTATAAATATATATTATTAAAACATTCCTCAGAAAGATTAAAATGCTTAAAGGTTAAAAGGACTTGAAAACTGCAATTCATTATAGTAAACATTATCATGGACTATTACAAAAATATTTAACATATTCCAGCAAATCTAAATTTATTGGAAATGAGTTACAATAAAAACTTAATACTGCTTTATAAAAAAATTGTATGCACGAACAGTTAAATAAACCTAAAAATCAGTCTAATACATAATACAATTAAGTAATGTTTAAAATATATAAAACAACGGTAGGAAATAAATAAATACAGTATGATGGTATACATAATTATAATTTTACAAATGCTTTCTTATATAAATATACTTTTAAGATATACGGATTATTATTCTATTTAGTCTTCTAAAGAATATCATACAATTTTATATGTGCCACATTATTTACAAAATAAATATAAAAACATTAAACATAATTCAGTTGAAAACAGTCATTAAGAATATTCCATCTTTAAAATATATACGGAATTGTTAACTACAATTGAATTTTATAATATTTCATTCTTTGTCAAAAAAATATTTAAATACTTTAAAATTGTTAAATCAAATTAAACCATTTAAATAAGAAAAAACTGAAAATTATAAAATTAACACGGTAGAATAGCTACTTTATTATTTTCAGTATCATTCTGACCGATTAATTTAAAAATAAAAATAAATAATTGAAAATTTCAATTTTATTGTTAAAATTACAAGCATTGTAAGTGAAAAAGTTGTTACCAGCAAACAGTGGAACTAAGTTTTGAACGCTTTTAGAGTGAAATACGAGTCGATATTTTATGTGATTTTTGACAAAATAATTTAAAAGTATTGTCAAATTTCCAAAAAATTAATAGAACTATCAATAGAATTCAATACTTTAGAACTAAGCTTAGGGACTTATAGTCTAAAAAATACACAAATATGCATTATAATATGTATTTATACGCATTAAAAAAAAAAAAAAAAATGACCATATAGTACACAAAATAAAACGTGTCCATCGGATTTAAATATATTTTTAAACTCCAAAACAAAACTTTGTAGTCGACTACTCGTAGACTGTTGTAATTTCAGCATAACACTATGTTACAAATTATCGCGTACGACGTTTTACGTATGATTCAACGTTGTGTGGACGCAAAAACAACGACGGATAATAATCAACTGAAATGAACACTAAACAAATAATCTATTGTTCTATATCGATTATTATCTTTATCGACATCCGATCAATATCCAGAGAGTTATACGGTCGATACGGGTTTATGATATTATTTATCCTTACACAAAAATTATAATAAGATATGAAAGGTAGTTTGCAGATAGCATATTACTAAAAATCCTCTTGGTACAATTTTTTTTTCACTCGGTTGAAATATGTATATATAGTTATATGTATCTATAGTTTTTAATTTTAAATTATAAAATTTGAGAAATTTGTCAAAATATGCAAAATAAGTAGGTATAATAATGTTAAAATAAGCACTCTTCTGCAAAATCTATCAAATATGCGAAAATATGCACATTCAAATTTTAGATCTGATATCATGGCATCGAGAAACGAAATTATTTCGCACTCTGCTATATTTAGTAATAATTAAAAAAAGTATGCAAATGTTAGAAGTCCCTAAGCCTATTTATAAAAAATCAAAAACTTTAAATTTTTAAAGATTATTATTTTTGTGCTCGTATTATAAGTATATATATATATATATATATATATTAATTATATTTTATACAACATAAATAATTGCTTCTTTTATCAAAAACATATTTAAGTGCATATATTTTCAAATTTTCAAATTTTATCACGGAACATTTTAAAAGTGCATAAATATCCATAAATTATTAATAAAGAAGTTTACGATTATATTTAAACATTTTATTTATATACTCTTATGTAAAATAATCGATGATATAATAACATATTTATTTAAAAAATTCTAAATAGAAAAAGTAATTAATTTTCTAAATACTAATTAATTATAATAATTATCAGTGGCCATAAACGAGGAAGTATAATAATATTCACTTTATTTTATTATTTTGCGTAAATTAGCTAAAAATATCATGGTATGTGAATTAGGTTTAACCGTATTGAGTCTCGAAAATCAATTAAAATATTCAAACACATTAAAAAAACATTGGATATATTTTCAACGTTCACTTCTCATTCCCCAGTTTAGATAATCTAAGAAAAATATTATTCGCCAAAAAAACTTTAAAAAGGTAAAAAAACGCCAAGCTTAAAATTAGAACTATTATATTCTTGCAACAAAAAAAAACCTGTCCAAAAAATGCACTGATATCAACATTATCCAAGCTTTTAATTTATGAGGTACTTTAACTATTTCCCTAAACTTCTCTCTTTTCTCCTTAGTTATGAGTATCATTTTTGTACCTGTTTTGTTTGAATATCACTATCCAATTCTTGGTGGCTGATATAAACATGCAATTATTTAATATTAGTGATGGGTCGAACTGTTCGAATCTCGAACCGAACCGAACCGAACCCTTGATATTCGGTTTGGTTCAAAATTCGAACTCGGCATGAAAAAAAGTCGAACCGACTTTTTTCAAGTCAAGCATCTTTTACTGTTCGAAAATTTGGCAAAATATTTTTTCCCAGGTAATCTTTGAGCGATAATAATTCAGACGCGACAAGTTTGATGTTATTTACGTCTAAAAACAGCAAAATTCCGACCGACGATACGAGTAATTGCTATCGTGTATTTGATAAAGCCTATTCCATATAGTATATACAATATATCTAGATGCATGTGTTATGTTCATTTCGGTCTGGGCTCATATAAATTATAACATTTTATTATTAATATACTGCGGGACCATTGTCATCTTCGCCATGGGTTTTATAAAAATAAAATCACAAAATAATTAATAAGCAATCAAATGTGATCACATTCTGCAGTCGGCAACTCGGCATATTATCCCGATATAATATTATTCTAATATTATAATTTAAATACAAAATTTACCTATACATATCAAATATAAATAGTAATAAAAAGTAATCATTAAGAGTATAATAGGATTTTAAAATTTTGTTAAAATAATTGTAAAAAATATTTGTTGGCATAATCATAAAAGAAATTTAAGAAGAAATGTATAGTAAATTGTATATTGTATAGAGAATTGTGTATTTACTGGAATGACT